CCTCAGACACCACCAATCTCCATGCTGGGACTGGACATACTACAGGCCAGGGCCTTGGCTGGGCCCAGGATGGCAAGAACTTAAGGATTCAAGGTATGTGGTAACAGAGAAACTGGAAGTCCATTAGTGTGGTGGGGACGCAGCCTCACTACCCTTGAGGCTTCTCTCCACCATCTTCAGCAGGGTTGGCTATGTAAGTGGCCTCTTGTTGGGCCTCAGACATGACCATGTCTCATCTAGTCACAGTTGAATACTGGTTATCTCCTCAGTGAGCACAAGCCATCTTCCTGGGAAAGAATTTGTGAGTGGAGCACTTCCCATTGGCCAGGCTGGGTCGGGGGGTGGGGTAGGGGGGTAGGCTTTTCCTATAAGGACAGGAAAGAGTGTGGCAGGCAGCGGGTCTGGAGAGTGAGAAGCTGTGCTCCCCTCTGTCTTGCAGCTTGTCCCTAAGGAAGTGGGGGTGCTGTTGAGGGAGCCTGCCTGTAAGCTGATAAGTCTTTCCATCCTAGAGTGCCCCTGGCTTAGCCTGGCTTGGGCAGCAACACCCCAGTGACCTTGACTGCCTTCCCCCACCTCAGAGGGGCCAGCTCACTGGCAGCTGCAGGTGAAGGGAGATGCTTTCTGGGGAGAGGTGTGGGGTGGGAGTGTGAGGAAGGTCAGCGCCGGAGTTCCACAGCCTGGTCCTAGCCTGGTGGGTTCAGAGCAGCCATGAGTGTTGTGTGGTCAGGGAAGGTAGGGTCTGCAGGGGTGGCAGGCCATGGGGGACAGGTTAGGAGAGAGCAGTGGCACCTAGTATAAAGAGCATCATGGATGCCAGGTCCCTGGGAAAGGTGGCACACTGTCCCTCCACAGCTGTGCTGTCCCTCTGTGCTGGCTCAGGGTTGTCACTCCATCCCAGAAACAGACCAGAGAGGCCCACATCTAAAATGGGCAGCATGATGTAAGGACAGCCAGCCTGGCAGTTGGAATGAGGACCAGGGTCAGGAACCCAGGGGACAGAGCAGAGGAGTCCATGTGTGTGATGAAGGGTCTGGCCCTAGAGCTAGAGGGAGTGAGGTCTTTCAGGGGCTTGGAGAACGAACCCAAGGGCCAGTGACTAGGATGAAACTGGTTTCCAGAGATCTCAGGAGAGGGAACAGGACAGCCACATCTGCAAGCTGGTGAATTACTCATGCTCTCAGTGCCTCTGCTATGCATTCTGATTCAGGGCAGGGTGTCATGGGCTGGCTGGACTCACTGGTTGGTCTACTACACACATCTGTACTGAGCTCCCACCATAGTAGGACAGGGTCCCGCACTAGAGGGTCAGCTGACAGTCCCCCCCAACACCCGCCACTTCTTGCCGGTATCTTCAAAAATGGTCCGCTGCTCCCAGCCCACTGGCCAGGCCCCGATACCTTTTCAATACCCAGCCACTGCTCCATCAGCAGGCACTGCCCACTGTGCAGCATCTCTGTGCTGATACCACTTGCCCAGCCTGTACTACATTGTCACCTTCTCTCCTAGATGTCTATCCACAGTAACCTCCTCCAGTCCAGTCTCAGCCCAAGAGCCAGAGAGCAGGCCATGGCACACCACACCTGAACCTTGGCTTGCTTCTGATTGCCAGACTCTCAAACTAGCCAGGGACATTCCTACCACAGGCCCTTTGCACTGGCAGTGGCTTCCTCATCACGTTTATGGTCATCTTACCTGTTGAGATGCTGGCCCCACGCACATTTGCAGATGTGCATCCTGTACCCCCACCCATTTCTCTGCTTATGTAGTGCTGCATTTAGTACCTTCTGTCACTCACTATTTATATACTGTTCATGGTCTGACTCTGCTCTTCTAGCTGAACAAATTCTGGGACTAGGTTTTTGCCTTGCTTAGCAACTCTAGCTCCCCCTCCCCCTAACCCCACTGCCAAATACCATGCTGTGCAAAGTAACAAGGAGTCATTAGTTCATCTCTTTCCAGCCCAAGTTGTCATGTCACAGCCAGTCCCCCCCCATAATCACCTCTGTACCTAGACACCACATGGAACTACCCAGTACACGTGCAACTGCACACAGACACACACACACACACACACACACACAGGAGTCTACCCGTTACTGTCACAAACATGCACCTGCACTCATGGCTTAAAACTCTTCAGTGGCAAGCAGGTCACCAGTGGCTCACGCCTGTAATCCTAGCTGCTCAGGAGGCTGAGATTTGAAGATCAAGGTTCAAAGGCAGCCCGGGCAGTAAAGTCCATGAGATTCTTATCTCCATTTAAACACCAGAAAACCGGAAGTGGCACTGTGGCTCAAGTGGTAGCGCGCTAACCTTGAGCTGAAGAGCTGAGGGACAGCGCCCAGGCCCAGAGTTCAAGCCCGATGACCAACAAAAAACAAAACAAAACAAAAAAAATATTCTTCATTGGCTTCCTCTTCCTCTTCTTTGATGAAGAAGACCAAAGCCTTCTCTTCTGCCCCTTCCTCTCACCTGTTACCTCTCTCCTTTCTCAGGGCTTACTGACACAGCCCACATATATCACAAAGAGGGGGTACCCCCCCTGCTACCAGGTCTAACTCCTGTTCACATAGGCCTGTCTGCTTTGCAGAGCCAGAGACTTCACAAAGCTGACCTCTCTCCTAGCCTGGAGGGCAGAGAAAGGCCCACAGAGAGGGAGGCATAGGGCAGGGAGATACTAGTGGCAGAAGGGGGGGCGGGAATGAGGCCCACTGGCAGGGAGGCACTGAGCATGAGCTGACCTATGAAAAGCAAACAGTACTATTCAGAAGCCAAGAGGGGTTCCCTGCAGACAAGAGCAATGAGGAGGCTGTTGAGGGCCTGCCACGCACTGGGCACTGCTCACCCTGTTCTCCTGGTCAGGAGGAGGTGCAGCACACAAGGTCATGTGGGTCATATGTTAACTGAGGGCTGCTGCGGAGGTAGCAGTGAGGCTAGGGCAGCAGCAGTGGATCGTAAGGTGTGATGCTCATAAATCTAAGGGATAGAAGGGGAGTAACTGCTATGTACTGGCACTTGCTAGTCTGGTACTTGCCAGGTAGCAAAAGGTGAGGTGCATACCTGGCCAAAAACATATAAAAAATGAGTTTTCTGAGAGCCTCAGGTTTGACTTAGGGAGAAAGGTGGCATTAAAAATACTATTAAAAAGGACAGCGCCCAAGCCCAGAGTTCAAACCCCACGACCAACACACACACACAAAAAAACTATTGGAAAGCCGGGCTTCGATGGCTCACACCTGTAATCCTAGCTACTCAGGAGGCTGAGATCTGAGGATTGTGTTTCAAAGCCAGCCCAGGTAGGAAACTCCATGGGACTTTTATCTCCAATAAACCACTCAGAAAACCAGAAGTGGCACTGTGGCTCAAGTGGTAAAGCACTCGCCTTGAGCTAAAGAGCTGAGGGACAGTGACCAGGCCCAGAGGTCAAGCCCCACAACCAACCAAAATAATAATAATAATACTATTGAAGGTAGGTGGGTCCAGGACACAGGAGAGAAAGGAGGCCACAGTAGCTGAGAGAAGCCAGAATCTGGGGTCAGGGAGAGATATGGCACCAGGGCCAGTTCAGAGCAGGATCACTGGGATTCGTGGAGGAAGGTCTATAAGAGATATGAACTAGAGAGGGGCACAGATAACAGCTAACTGGATGATCTGAGGGTTTTGAACCAGGCTGGAGAGCGAAGATTGTTTCTAACACTATCTAGAGACAGAAATAGAGACCCTTTGCTGTTAGGGCCTGTCGGCCTGGGGTCTTCCCACCTGGGATCTGCTCTAGGGGAAGAGTACTGGAGTAGTAAGAGCATGACTGTGGTAGGCTGACTGGAGAGAGGACATCAGGAAGGAAAACAAGAAGTATGCAGTATCATTAGGCGCCACCCTGGGCTCCCAGTCAGGGACAGAAGCCTGGGTGGAGGGACCTAACCCTACCATCCAGAAGGTCACAGAGGTGTCCTAGGATGTATTCCTCCCCCATTCTGGTCGACAGGTAGCCCTCAGAAGCCTGGATGCTATAGACCTGCCCAACCTATGAGCACAGCTGTACCTCATTTTAGTGCCTTGGCCTAGTCAGGGTTAGTGAGAATGGGGGGAGGGGGGCGGGCCTGGACTCCTCTGGAATGCCTGGACCTAGCAATTCCCAGTGCCTCAAGAACTGCCCTGGCCTATCGCAAACACACCTCACCATGTCTCCCTGTTTTGTTGACTGTCCCCTTCCTGAGCCCTAGCTTCCCTCACACGACCAGGAGTAAGACCACCTCTGCCCCTTCTCAAGGCCTGACCCCCACCTCCAGCTGTTGGCACTCAGGCATCCAGTGACCCCTGGCCTGCAGCCTTCAGCTTGCTTTGGCCCAGTCTGTTTGCTTAAGAGTTGACCCACAGACTGCCCTTGAGAGCAGGCAGGACAAGATCCCCCTCTAGACACATCCTAGGGATCTAGGCCTCCTTCAGGCCTCCATTCAGGACCACATTGTCAAGTAGGGTGGGACTGGGCTGGGAAGGTGGCTCAGTGGTAGAGCACTTGCCTTGCATGCATGAGGCCCTGGGTTCAATTCCTCAGCACCATATAAGCAAAAAAATAAAAATAAGTAGGGTGGGACTGACCTCCCTCAGTGCTGTGGAAGAATGGGAGTACAGGGCTTCATAGCAGTTATGTTATAGAACCGTCGACAAACAAGGAGGCTCAGGGAAGGAGAGGCCAGCCAAGTCAGTAGGCAGGGAGCCTCAGCAGAGTTAAGTCCACCAAAGAGGTAAGCAGGTGGGGTATTGAACACTTATTCCCCTCCCTCATGCACCTGGCTTCAACTGTCTTGGCAGGGAGGGAGGCACGGAAATTGGTGTCAGCTAGGAATGTCGGGTTTGCTGTGGTTTGGTCACTACCGTTACAACACCCCCAGAACAGCAGGGAACTGTTGGATTATCCCTGTGTTTTCTAAGATCTGTGGGCTTCTCCCTTTCCCAGTCCACCTCATGGGAGATGGCTCATGCTGTTCTCTGTTTGGCAGGTGAAAGGCCGGATGCAACGCAGGGAGCCGGAGCAGCCTGAGGCAGGGGGGCCACCAGGAGTGCAGGGCCCTCCAGCCGCGCTTAGCAGCATCTCCACAGCAACCAGCAACCAGACGGCAGCAGCCTAGGCAGACGCAAAAGGACTACTTCCCACCGTGGCCAAGGAATGACAACGGCAAATCAGGCCACAGCGCTGACAAGGGAGGTGGAGTGTCACTAGAAGGGAGGGTGCGGCCACCGCCCCACTGCACAGAGCGCCATGCTGGCTGGAGAAGAGGCACTGGGGCAGGGGCTGCAGTGTGTCACAGTATTGACCACAGTTTTGCCTTGAACACTCCCAAGGCCCCTGGCTCTTGTCTGCTGGGCACACCAGCGCACATTTCAGCATCCCTCATTGCAGCCATCCCTACTTGGTGGCCAGAGGGAGAGGCGCACAGTCAGTGCTCCCACATCTGGGTCTGCCGCTGCCGGACCATGGGATGTCGGCAAAGCTCAGAGGAGAAAGAGGCAGCGCGGCGGTCCCGAAGAATCGACCGCCACCTGCGCTCAGAGAGCCAGCGGCAGCGCCGCGAGATCAAACTGCTCCTACTGGGTACTAGCAACTCAGGCAAGAGCACCATAGTCAAACAGATGAAGATCATCCACAGTGGTGGCTTTAACCTGGAGGCTTGCAAGGAGTACAAACCCCTCATCATCTATAACGCCATTGACTCGCTGACCCGCATCATCCGGGCCCTGGCTGCCCTCAAAATTGACTTCCACAACCCAGATCGTGCGTATGATGCTGTGCAGCTCTTTGCACTGACTGGTCCAGCCGAGAGCAAGGGAGAAATCACACCTGAGTTGCTAGGTGTCATGCGGCGGCTGTGGGCCGACCCTGGGGCACAGGCCTGCTTTGGTCGCTCGAGCGAGTACCACCTGGAGGACAATGCGGCCTACTACCTGAATGACCTGGAGCGCATCGCCGCACCAGACTACATCCCCACTGTGGAGGACATCTTGCGCTCCCGGGACATGACCACAGGCATTGTGGAGAACAAGTTCACCTTCAAGGAGCTCACATTTAAGATGGTGGATGTGGGTGGGCAGAGGTCGGAACGCAAAAAGTGGATCCACTGCTTCGAAGGTGTCACAGCCATCATCTTCTGTGTGGAGCTCAGTGGCTATGATCTGAAGCTCTATGAAGATAACCAGACGGTGAGTAGAACCCAGATTTCTGTGCTTGTTCCTGTTGTGTTGGGAATCAGGTGGACTCATGTAGGCAGGGAGAGTCTGTAGCTGGGTCAATCCAGCCTCATGATGCCTGTGATGGCTCCAGTGAGATGGGGATGAGTGTGCCCCTCCTGCTGTGCTCAGAGAACATAGTGTGGAACACAGTGTCTTGCAGGCACCACAGGACTTGCTAAGATGTCATCCACAGAGGAGCACCCTTGGCAAGCAGGGCTATGCTGGGCTTAGGAGCCTTGTTTTGACCTAGGTAACCATGCTCTGACATTCCTTCAGCACATTGACACCCTCCAAATGAGGCCACACACCTCTGGGCTCCACAGACGGTGGTCTGGCTCACCAGGTAGCCCCACCTCTCCCTACCAGGTATAGCCTCCCTCCATGAGTTATGCCCTCATGGCATATGCTGGCCCTAGCTGCCCAGGTTCCCAGCTTGCTCCTACCTCAGTGCCGTTAATAGATCATGCCTAAACTATGGCAGCCACAGTACGAGAGGACAAGACTTGATCACGCCTCATTTTGGTTCACATGGTGGTCTGGCAAATCCTTGAAGTTCTTACCAACACCAAAGAGCCTGTGGGTCCTGGAAATAGCTATCACTGCTATAACCCCATCTTGATCCTAAGAATCAGGTGGTGATGGAGTAAAGAAAGTTTAGTTCCAGGTACCAGAACCTGGACTTGGAGTCCTGGTGGTAGAAACTCAGTAAGTATGTGGGCCAGGGTGGCTGTTGGATTCTTTGAAGTGTTCGGCCTACACTGAGAAACACTGTGTGCGGAAGATTAGAGTCATGAAGTAGATGGGGGTGACCTGAGGGAGAATTGGGTTCAGTACTGAGTTACATGGAGCTTGAGAGGAGAATTACTAGAGAGAGGGAGGGAGAAATTCCTGGCAAAGAGATGGTAGGCTAGCAGGCACAAGTCTCATTAAGTCTTTGAAGTACCTGGGTGCTCAAGAGTAGCAGTAGTGGAAGCCATGTACCAGACAAGTGACCAGAAAGGCCAGGTTCAGCCCACCCTAGAGCTGTCCTGATCAGCAAAGCTTGTTACCAGACAAACACTCAGAACCTATCCTAAGAGAAAGACCTTTAAGCCTGCAGGTAAGTAGAATAGGAACAAAGAGGGAGTCCTTGAGGATCTATGAGTGTGGCTGTGGGTGCCCTGTAGTTCAGAGAAGATGGCACAGGTGGAGGTGGGCACAGTACCTTCATTGAGTCTTGTTAAAGCAAGTGACAGCTTTATTCTTTGGATCACCCAAGCACTGTAAGTTCAGCCTGCACCCCTTCCCCAGGGAAGTCTGTGGAAAGGCTGCAGGATGTAACCACAGTGCTGAGAGCCTGAGCATTCTTCTAGGCAGAGAGAGTTGGTGGTCTTTTGCCAGGTGGCAGTGACAGCAGGAGTCAAACCTCTGGGTGTTGATGGTGGCCCCAGTCTGTCTAAGTCAGGTGATGAGTCACAGGTGCTCCCAGTCACTTCCATCTAGGAGTAAATGGTCTTTAGGGTTTAGTTTGTTTTACTACTCTGCTGTCCCACCTGAGCATCCTGTGGTTTCTGTAGAGATGACATCCCAATGGATGAGCAAGATGAGACTCCTTTAATGAGGCACCACTATGAAGTAGCTGGGCTGGGCCTGAGGGATGGTGTTGTGGCATTTCTGTCAGTCGGCAGTCACACAGGCTCAAGCTCCTGTTCACTTCTGCTATTCCCTGGGGCTGACTAGAAACTGTTCTCAAGACTTCTAGATCCAGATGGGCTGCTTCTAGATCCAAATGGGTTGCCCATCCCTCATCTCCAGGGTCTGCATAGCAAATTCTCTTAGAGGCATTCCTGACCCCAGCCCATCCTTGGCAGCCTGTGCCCACAGCGGTGCCTGGATCCAGGATGCCTTAACACTGAGTTTCATAGAAGAATTGGTTGTCACCTTTGCTCTCTGAAAATGTCAGTTAGGTGGCAATGTCCTCAAAGATGAGTCCAAGGGGGCTGGGAAGGTGGCTCAGTGGTAGAGCACTTGCCTTGCATGCCTGAGGCCCTGGGTTCGATTCCTCAGCACCACATAAGCAAAAAGAAAAAAGCCGGAGGTGGCGCTGTGGCTCAAGTAGTAGAGCACTAGCCTTGAGCTGAAGAGCTGAGGGACAGCACCCAGGCCCAGAGTTCAGGCCCCATGACCGGACCCAAAAAAAAAAAAAAAGGTGAGTCCAAGGCCAAGGCCAGATTTTTGCCTGCTCCAGGCCCTTATGCTTCACCTGGCCTATGCCACTTCCCCAGCAACCCCTCCCTCAAATTCCATTCATTAACAGCTTGTTTTGCTCTCCTAGCATCATTCTGTCCAACCTTAAGCTCATGACCATCTTGTCTTCCAATTCTGTCAGGACTGTCCCAAACACTATCTGCTTGGCAGCCTTCCCTTACCCCCCCCCCTCACTGAGTCACTCATGACAAAATGGGTCGCTGATCACACATAAGCAAACCAGCACCTGCTGGTAGGGCCCAGTGAACTTCTTGTCTCTAGCCTTCTCCAGCCCTATCCCCATGTTAATCTTTGTTTGCTTCAGCAGTACTAGTGTTTGAACTCAGAGCTTCTTGCTTGCTAGGCTGGCATTTTACCACTTGAACTATATCTCCAGCACAGGTTTCTGCTGGTTATTTTAGAGATGAAGTATAGTGAATTTTTCTCCCTAGGCTGACCTCAAACCTCCATCCTTCAGATCTCAGCCTCCTGAGTATCTAGTCTTACAGGCATGAACCACCAGCACCTGGCCCCATGTGCATCTCTGTGAGGCCCATATCTATCTCCTGGAGAAACTAGGCTCTGAGGTGGCATAGGGTGGCATTCAGGGCATTTTCTAAAGGGAGAGGCTGGCAACTGGAAACACACACACACACACATACACACAAACACACACACACACACACACACACACACACACACACACGCCCCTCATCTCCACATCCTAGCAAAGTGGTTGTTCACCAGAAAAGGAAATTCTTGATTTCTGGCTGGAAATTCACTGGCTTCCAAATGATTCTGACCTTTCACGCTCTACCAGTAATATCTGAGGATGCAAAACAAACAGGCTGCTGAGGAAAGACAATACCCTCCCATGCTTCCTCCAGCCAGCAGCCGGCTGTGCAGGGTGGGGACAGCATTAAGGACCTGCCTGTTCCTCCAGCTGGGCCAGGGATAGTACCATGGATACTAAGACAAGCCTTCCACCGTTTGCTCTCTCTTGGAATACCCTGAGCTGGCCTCCAAGCCCCAATAAAGACAATTTAGCCAAGAACAGACCACGGGCCCAGTGCCAAGGGTTGGCCACAGCTCCTCTACATCTTTCTTGCTCAGTTCCAAGGTCTCATCTTCCCTCTAATGGAGGCTGGCATTCCCCTTCTGCCCCCATGCCTGGAGAAGCATTTACAGCCCCCCCCCCCAGCCCGCCTGCTGGCTTTTGCGTCAGCATGTTGCCAAGGAGAACATTAGCATCTCTGGGCTCCCGGCTGCAGAGAGCACAGGGCAGCACCTTAGAGGCAAGGGGAGGTTGATTCCCAGGCATGCATGATCTGTGCCAGAGCACAGCCAAGGAGCTGTAGCCACCCTTAGTCCCAGGAGGATAGCTGATCTGACTGCCTGAGACCACTTCTCCTTGTAGGCCTTCCAGGCACCTGGGGCTCCCAAAGCCAGGTCGTGTTCCAGTGTTCTCTTTAACACCCACCTTCCCTCACCCCATTTGACATCGAGGCTAAGATATAGTCCAGTGATTTGTGGACATTTCTCTTAGCACTGTCCCCTAACTATAATGTGGCAGTACCTGTTATTTCTGTCACAGGCAGGGGCACTGGGGCACAAAGGCAAGGCAGTGCTGTCCAGCTGCCGACTCCCACCACATTCTCCCACCAAGAACAGCCCTTCTCACTCAGCCAGGCCCAGGACTAGGGACTCTGCTCCTTCTCTTAGTGTACTTATAGAAGAGGCAGTTGATAGAGATAGGTCATTTTGAGACCTCAGGAGATCTGTGGACAAGGAGGAGAGGTAGAAGTACTGGGTCCCAGCAGCCCATGTAGATGAAGAACATGGCTCAGGCCAGCAGGAGTGCACCCTCACTCCCCTATCAGAGGCACCCCAGTGTCAGGCAGCATTCTTGCTCCAGGCCTTTGAGGAAGTGGGTGACTGCCACCCAACCTCTTCTAGTGCCGAGCAGCTACTGGGCTCCAATGGCCACTTATGGAGGAGGGATCTTCAGAAGGAACAGATTAAAAGGCCTGGTTGTAAAGTGTCATATGTTCTCATGTGGAAACCCACAGGGAGCTCACTGTCCATTTCCCAGGGGAGCTGTCAGCATCCCAAGCCCAGCAGGCAGGCCTGTTGTGTGCCTGCGGTATGCCTGCTGTGTGTGCATGCTGAGTACCCACTGTGGAAGCCCAAGGTCCCTGCTGGGGGTGCGGTGTGAGTTTGAGCCAGATTCTAACTGCATGAGGAAGGGGAAGGGAGTCACACCACCATAGCTGCCAGAGCCAGTAGAGAGTTCCTAGAGATGTCCTTCATTTTGCTTTTACCTGTGACCACCTGGAAGCCACAGGTGAGTTGGGCCACAGTAAGGCTCACCTTGGGAGACTAGATGCCCTTACTACTTATTGAAGAGATAGTTGGTCAGCATGTCACAGAATGAACTGGGCTCAGGGACATTTGCTTTTGGAGAGGAGGCAAGTTCTGCAGGTAGTAAGTGCTATAGTGGCTAGACTCCAGGCAGATGGCTTCCAATGACCCTTGGCATAGACAGCCCCTCCTATCCCCAGACAGGTCAAGCAGCCTCTGCGTAACCTGCAGAGGGATGAGTAGCCACCACATGGCCTGTTCTGTGAGCGCAAGAACTGGCACACAGTAGGTGTTCAGTGGACTAGGCAGGAGGCAGACTGGTTTGGGAAATGCTACAGGCATGGGCTCTGACTTCAGCTCTTCTAGGATAGAGTCATGGGTGC